CAAATACGTCAAAAATCAATTTTATCACAAGTGCAACTTTCTGATGTCTCTTTGATAACACAAATGTGAAGTTAGGTTTCATGTATAAAACGCCTGATTGCACAGCCAATTAATAGATTTTTGACAGTTTGTCCCTATCAATTCATACCAAGATAGAACCAGGACATTTCTATTTTATTTGAGAATTTCCCCCTAGTAATTCTATACAAATTCTCTAATTAATTTTATGAAAGATAAGTGGTTCCTGGCAATAGGTATATCTTGTCAACTTAATACCTGGCAGTAGTAATATCTGTAAAATCTTAGACAACTGGGATTTGCCTAAATTAATAAAAATTAGTTAAAGTTTCTATGATAAAAATATCAAAAAAGAAGTGTTAAAATTGTAACCTAATTTTAAACAGTATTTTTAAATTTTAGAATAGAAAAACAGATTCTTAAAATAATCTGTAGGTTAATATTTTTTTCTAATTTTCACCTTTGAACGGTTCTTGGATTGTTCATTATCTCAGAAAAAGTAAAGTTTGGGATTTTCAACATTACTATTTGAAAGAAGAGGGCAAAAGACGTTTAACCAGTTATTACCTTAAATTGGACGACATCCATTAGGATTTAAAAAAGTTTCTAAATTTTCACCTTAAAGCAGTCTTTAAAAGTTTATTATATTAAAAATACCTATAGTTTGTGTTTTTTATGAATACTAAAATAAAGAAGAGGGCAAAAACATATAACCTAATAGACATCACCATTAAATTTTTTTTGTTAATTTGACATAATAAAAACATAATTTTAAAATAATCCTTACAAAAATGTAAATAATTTTTTAAATTTTTATCGCAAGGCAACAAGCAAAGTTTGGAAATTTTATAACGTGCTATTTTAAAGTAGAGGGCAAAAGTCGTATAACAAGCCTTCATACAAGAATTTTTAAATTTGAGAATAAAAAAAAAAAAATTAAAAAAAAAAATTGCAAAAACACGTTAATATTTTTCTAAACTTTATTTTAGAGCAGCCCTTAAAAGTTCTTTATTTTGAAAACATGTATAGTTTCCCTCCCTGTATAACGATACTATTTTAAAGTAGAGGGCAAAAGTCGTATAACAAGCCGTCACCTTAAATCGAACGACTTTAGAATTTTTAAATTTGATAACAAAAAAAGCAGAATCTTAAAATAATCTTCGCGAACAATTTAACTTTTTTTCAATTTTCAAACAAAAAAAGTTTAAATTTTTTAATAATGCTATTTTAAAGTAGAGGACAAAAGTCGTATAACAAACCGCCATATAAGGATTTTTAAATTTGAGAATAAAAAAGCAAAATTTTAAAATAATTAAATAAATGTTAATATTTTTCTAAATTTTCACCTTAGAGTAGCCTTTAAAAGTTTCAATATAGACTCCAATTTTTATAATGATACTATTTTAAAGTAGAGGGCAAAAGATATGTAATCAGCAATCACCTTAAATCGAACGACATCGCTATCAGGATTTTTAAATTTGGGAATATACAAACAAAATTTGAAAGTGCATTATATCAAAAACACGTAAAGTTTGGAATTTTTAAATAATGCTATTTTAAAGTAGAGGGCAAAAGTCGTATAACAAGCCATCACCATAAATCAAACGACTTTAGAATTTTTAAATTGATAACAAAAAAGCAGAATCTTAAAATTGTCTTCCCAATTTTTTTTTCAATTTCCAAACAAATATAGTTTAATTTATTTTAATAATGCTATTTTAAAGTAGAGAGCAAAAGTCGTATAACAGGCCACCATAAAGGATTTTCAAATTTGAGAATAGAAAAGTAAAATTTTAAAATAATCCTTGCAAAAAAAAATCATATTTTTATAAATTTTTACCTCAGATGGCACTTAAAAGTTCATTATATAAAAAACACGTAAAATTTGGATTTTTTTGATAATGCTATTTTAAAGTAGAGTGCAAAAGATGTGTTATCAGTCATAGAGCAGCCTTTGAAAGTACATTATTTTAAAAACTAACGATACTATTTTAAAGTAGAGGGCAAAAGATGTATAACCAGCAATCTATTTTAAATTTTCATAACGATACTATTTTAAAGTAGAGGGCAAAAGATGTATAACCAGCAATCACCTTAAATCGAACAACATCACTATTAGAATTTTTAAATTTGACAAAAAAACGCAGAATCTTAAAATAATCCTCGCAAACAATTTAATTTTTTTTTCAGTTTCCAAACAAACAAAGTTTAAATTTTTTAATAATGCTATTTTGAAGTAGAGAGTAAAAGTCATATAACAAGCCACGATATAAGGATCTTCAAATTTGAGAATAAAAAAGCAAAATTTTTAAATAATCCTTGCAAAAAAAAGTTAATATTTTTCTAAATTTTTACCTCAGAGCAGCACTTAAAAGTACATTATATCAAAAACACGTAAAGTTTAGAATTTTTAATAATGCTATTTTAAAGTAGAGGACAAATAATGTATAATTTTATATAATGACCATGAATCAAGAGGAATCCTTTTTTTTTTTGGTTTTGAGCACTGTTATTTAGTTTCAGATATCAGAATATAATTTTTGTGTATGCAATATTAAATTGTTTTATTAGTTTTAACAAGTGCAAAATTTTATATTTAAATAAATCTAGCAAGAACTGACTATAGTCAAAAACCAGTTTCACTAGATAATGCTAACCAATTTCAACTAAAACCAGAAAAAATGCATGATTAAAATATCATTTGAGAAAATCAAATATTATCAAAACATATTTTGATCAATTACCATGAAAAATAAATCAGTATTCCAAAAGTTCGAAATTTGCAATTTAATTTGCAGATGGTACCTTATCCAAAATTTCGATTTAATCCAAATTTGTTCAGCATATTGGCCAATTCTCTGATAACATAAAAATGTTATGGCGTAGTTAGTTCTAACAAATTGTCGAAAAGCCATTTCACACATAAAAACTAACCTCCAAAATGTACAAACGTCAAATAACAAATTTATCATAAATGAAACTTTCTGATATCTCTTTGATAACATATACGTGAAGTTAGATTTTATGTGAAAAACCGTCTAATTGCACACGTTTTTTTTACCAAATCATACGAATGTAGACCGTATTAACGTATTAAAATAGTTAAAAATAATATAATACTATATATGATTATCTAATCAAAGATAAAACTCATAATTATAGGTTTTGACTTTTATTTCTTATATACTTTGCAAATTTTCTACGAGATCTCTGTCTAAATTAGTTATCCGTTAAAATCGTTCCGTCGGTTAATTGACACATAGCCGTTACTCTCTGTGTAGAATAATAAATATTATTTATTAAAACACGCATACAACAATACACACATACATATTGTAGAGCATGCGAATTTTAGCAGAGGAAAAAATTAACACCGATTTGCGATAATGAGGCTAGGAATTGCAAAAAAATACATAAATAACATATCTCGATTTAATATTTTAAGAATTAGTCAATAAACTGTGGAATTGCCTGATCGAGAATCTTGGTATCAATTCATATAATTAATAAAATTAATAAGACAGTCATTTTTTGGGAAATTTAATAAAATAACTCAAAAATATAAAAAGTTTTTCAAACTAATTAAAGTATGAAATAAAATTCTATATTTTGTGATAGTCAAAGTAATGACAAAATTTTCACACTTATATAAATAATATCTTTGGTTAAAAAGTTCAATATCATGAAAATACATGGTATTCAATACCATGAAAATACTATTATTAACTATTAGTTATTAAAATTTACTACACATTAGTTGAATTTTTCAATATAATTTTCACATATTAAACAAATTACCTTTGTAATACAAAGTTTGGCATATTTTGATTTGTTTGCATATTTTTGCGCTGACGATAACCGAACTTGTATTAGTTTCGTTATCAAAACGCTAAATGAATTTGTACACAATGGAATAGAAATTTATTTATATATATATATATATATATATATATATATATATTAAATGGCGTATCAAATAAAAGGTCTTAACGAGTACTTTACGAATATCATAGTTATATACCCTAAAAATTAATTGGGTTTCGTACCCTTTATATTCAAGTAAAATCTAACAGTAATTTTCAGTTTCTTATACAATTTTAAAGTATACTGTATTGCTAAGGTATTATAATGTATCACGCAATCATAGATCCATTAATTTTGAACAAATTTGTCATATACTTCATTCATATGAATCAAACGGTTTATAAGTTACAAGAAATTTAATAAGTAAATGCACAAACGAGTCGAGTCGAAGTCGCTTTGTACTATATACAGTACAGTGGGTCAAAATGTTCCAAATAGTAAAAAAGCATGTTGGGTATCAAATGAAAGGTCTCGACGAGTACTTAACGAATATCATAGTTATAGGCATATATACATGGTCTGTTCAAAAAGTACCCGGAATTACTAATAATTAAATTTCGCGGGTCTGGAGTGTCTGATTGTCAAAATTTTTTTTTATTGTGTTGGTATACATGCCCCCAAAGTATGATGAAATTTTCAGCTATATTCACTGTTTACTTTGTCTGTGGTAGTCGCTAAGGTTCGACGTGTTTTTCTGAGCTCGGCGATTTTACAATGGAAGAATTGAAAAGTCAAAGAATTTGTATTAAATTTGCGTAAAAAATGAAATAAAGTGTTGCAAAGTGCAAAAATTCACCAGATATGGCTCCGTGTGACTTTTTCCTATTCCCAAAGTTGAAGAGACCCATGAAAGGACGGCGGTTTTCCTCGATTGAAGAAAATCGCCGAGAGTGCTCAAGGACATATCAAAAAGTGAATATCAAGGGTGCTTCGAAAATTGGAAAAAACGCTGGCATAAGTGTATTATATCTGGGGGGGACTACTTTGAAGGGAACCACATTAATGTAGACGAATAAATAAATATTTTTTTGAAAAAACGAAAATTCCGGGTACTTTTTGAACAGACCTCGTATTATATATATATATATATATATATATAATTTTTATAATAATCTTACTTGTTTTGCAGCCTCGACATTGTCGGCATGGGCCTGTCTCAGTGCCTGAAGATCAATTCCATCCAAGGCTGGCAAGGATATAGAATTCCTTCTCAAAGGATGAACTGATTTCTTCCTTAGTGGTTTTCTAGATGATGAATCTAGAGGTCCTGGTTCGTCTTCTGCAAAAAATAAGCAAAAAATTGATATAAGAAACAATATTCTGAACGAATTCTTCCCATCATTAAGGATCATACAAATCGGATGCACCGATTTCTCAAAAACTCGATTTCTAGGAATCGAATGCTTTTTGAATCATTCAAATCGGTTGATCCGTGTAAACATGGTCGAAAAATTGTATTCCAACATACATACACACGCGAACGTCCATTATTTCTAAGACATGACAAAAAGTTCAGAAACCTCTCAAACGTGGAGATATGCAAAAATTTTCAATTTCAATTTTTGAACGATTACAATAACTTACCCTACTAATTAATTAATTAGTAGGGTAATAATACTGTACTTTGGAAAAAATGAACAAGTACTGGTATATATTTGATAAAATAAAATAAATGTTTTTTATTCATGGAATCATCATTCAAATTTATTTTTTATTCATTTTTAACTTTCCGAAGGAGAAGTTTATGTTTTCATAAAAAAATCCGATTCGCTAATTTCATGTTTTCTAGACTTTGGAAATTTGGAAAAAGTGTGTGTGTGTGTGAACAGATTTTTGACCTCTCGTCGACATTTTCTCAAAAATGGCTAGAACGATTTAAAAAATATAAAAGCCGGTGAAGACTATAGTTTGATAGTTTTATGCGACGATCTGCCAAGCCGTTTCTTTGTAATTAGCAAAAAAGAGACAACAGTCGTCCACGTTAAATACTGGATCGATTTAAAAAAAATCAAAATCTATTCTAAAGATGTTATTTATAAGAATCGTGCTGATTAGTTTTAGGCAAGTCAATTATTACACATTTCGTGAAGTTCAAGCAACTTGCCTTAAGGCAAAATTCCACTTACAACCAGTTTTACCAAATAACGCATATTAGAAATATATACTGATAGGAATAAAATTTGTTCATAATCATAATCATATTTTCTTTTCATTATGAAATATGGATAGTCTTTATAAATTAAAAAAAATGATTAATTAGCAAAGTGCATTGTAGCATAAAAATTTTCTGCAATGAGTATTATAAAAAAAAAATTACTGCGTAAAAATGTCTAGATATATGTACAAACTTCTGCAAAAATAGACAATCCTTAAATTTTTTCTAAACAAATAAATATTAAACTAAAAACAATATTTAATAAGAGCAATAATCTTTAAGTGTTTGCTAAATAAATCTTTTATTTAAATTACAAAAAATTTATTGGACTGATTCAGGCACTCAGGTAAATCGTTTGAAAAATAATGGCATGTACTTAATTTTTTTATATAAAAATCAGTCGTTTTTTTTCACTTTTTCCAAAATTCAGTTACTGACGTTAGTTGCAACGTGATAAATACTTATAAAAATATAGATATTATTTTGATAAATCGAATCTCATGATTCATAATCAAAGATACTATCAAAACACATGAATTTTAATAAAAATTCTTCATAATTTTATTATCGTGTAAGATAATGAAACGTAACTTTAGAAAAGACCGATATTGAATAATTTCCACTTTGATTTTCGAAGAAATTGATAAAATAAAAATGCCTTCACAAAAATTTTACATTTGTGGAAATATAAACTAAACTGCCACTACTCATTTTAATTTTATTCATAGAATTTAGGGGTTTGTACCTAGAACTAAAATATAACAAAATTCTTATAAGATTTTCATAAGCGGTCGTATAAGAATCCAATCAAGCAAACATTTCGAGAATAGGTATAAAAATTTCAAGTTTTTAGTTGAAAAAATATAGATGGTAATTATGTAATAAAATTCTTATAAGATTTTCATAAACGGTCGTATAAGAATCCAATTAAGCAAACATTTCGAGAAAAGGTATGAAAATTTCAAATTTTTAGTTGAAAAAATATAGATGGTAATTATATAATAAAATTCTTATAAGATTTTCATAAGCAGTCGTATAAGAATCCAATTAAGCAAACATTTCAAGAATTGGTATAAAAATTTCAAATTTTTAGTTGAAAAAATATAGATGGTAATATAATAAAATTCTCATAAGATTTTCATAAGCAGTCGTATAAGAATCCAATTAAGCAAACATTTCGAGAATTGGTATAAAAATTTCAAGTTTTTAGTTAGCAGAGTTTAGTTTAGTTAACAAATATAGATGGTAATTATATTTGTCGTAATCTGGATTCGCTAATATATGAAAAGAAAACTGGAGTTTACTCATTTTTCGAAACAAGAAAGTTAAAATAAAGAAAATTGGCTCCAAAATTAGAAAGAAGCCTGACATAACTATGAACAAAACACATTTTCAAAATCTACATTTGGAATACATATTTTTATCAGAATTAATTATAAACTGTATAAAAATAATATATATATATATATATATATATATATATATATTATAAAATTCATAAATAATACTGGACCATATGTTGTATACAATAATAAAGACTTACAATATCAATGAAGTTTAATTTTTTTTTGTATTATTTCTTGTATTTTCAGAAGTTTGTTCTGAAATTAGCCTGAAAATTTAATCCAACATCAACACTTTATTGTTTTTATTGTTTTTATCGATTTTTTATTACTTCACCGATCTACATATTATTTGGAATGTATTTTGATCACCATAATTTGGTTTCACATAACTGATATGTTAACAAATATACTTTTTTATTTTATTACAAAATTATTAATTAGTTTTATTTGATATTTAAAAACAGTTTTAACAAAACTTCAGATATTATTAAAATAAGTCCATAATAAGAGTTCTAAATTGCTTCTGTCGATATATATTAGTCACCATCAGCTATTTGTTCTGCTAGTACATATATTGTTGTATCAAAAACAATTCAATTGAAAAATGATAAATCTCAGTACGGCATATATTAGTAGTGCGAGCGTTGGTAGAAATTTTGTAAAAGAAATTTTTATAATATATAAAATTCCAAAGTCGAAAAAGCAAGTCACGTGTTAATGATTACTTGTAATTATTTACGTTTTCAGATCTTCTGATATTTTCATAAAATTTAATTATTTTTATTTTTATATGTATATAAGAAATTTATATGTATATTTACTCGAAAAATGATTTAACCGAATTTGTGGTTTAAGAAGTATTTGATTGGCATTTTTCAAAGTTAAATTATATTTTAGCCATATTTTTAATTATTTCGGTTTGTCTTGAAAACTAGTTTATACCATATTATCAATTATTTATAAAGCCACAACTATTGTCTATTTTTTCACTCAATTTTCGATTTAACTAAAATCTTACAAAATTCTTATAAGATTTTCATAAGCTTCCAGTTAAGCAAACATTTCGAGAATTAGTATTATAATTTCAGATTTTTAGTTGAAAAATTTTAAAATCAATTTTGCAATTATTTTTTAATTATTTATTTATTTGAGTTCAAAAAACGATTTTGCATATTACGCTAAAAGTTTGATTTCTAAGCAAAAATATTATTAACTTAAGATTATTTATTTAAATAATTGAGGGTTTCATCAATTTCTTTTCAAATATTGCCTAAGCAATTTTCATTATTTCAATTAGTCTACTTTTTTTTATTATATTACAAAATTTTAAAAAATATTTTGGACAAGAAACAAGTTTCAAGAATTAACATTATCAAGAAAAATCTATATCAATATTTCAGAAAAAATCAAAATTCATAAAAACAAGTTTTCATAAAAATTAAAATTATTTTTAAAATAGCAGTATTTAAAATTGTTTAAAGAAATTTTAAGAAATATCGAACTTTCCAAATATGTATATATCAAGTATTTGTTTATAATTTGGGAGAACCCAAATTTGCCTTATAGAACACCTCTAGTTTTTTTAATTTTAACATAAATAATTAGTTTTTTTTTTCAAAAACAAAACTGACATATCAGAGCATAGTCTAAAACAAAATTTATACAGCCTGGACTATATAGTGTACAAAATTATTTTGCGTTTTGCGTTTTGCACATCATATAGAAGTTAGGCGAGAAAAATAGAAAGTTATCATTAATCAGCACAATTTTTAAATATTATTTGTCGATTGGATTTTAAATTTTCAAAATCGGTTCAGAATTTTTATGTAAATGTGGACGAAAAGAAAAGGCTTGGCCGATCGTCTCGAATAACTATTCAGTACGAGTTTTTATCGAGTTTCATCAAATGGACAGAAAGTCAAATTTTAGCTCATATACAATTAGACTTTCCAAGTTGAAGTTTTAGATAAATTTATGGGGTAATTCTGTCTGATAACATAGCGTTGTCATGGCAACGCTATCTTATGCTTGTTTGTTCGTAGTAAAAACTGTGATTTATTCGCTGTGCAATCAGGCGTATTTTAAATATAAACAAGCAAGGAAAAAACTTACGATAACTGCATTTTCGCTGATTCTGTTATCATAACATTCTTCCTTGCTTGTTTATATATGAAATACGCCTGATCGTACAGCAAATAAATAGACATTTCACAGTTTTGACTACCTTTAAACAAGCTTAAGATAGCGTTGCTATGAAAAAAAATCCAGAAAAAAATACGGTTAAGAAAAAACAAAAAACAAACTAGTGGTGTATGGCATCGTGCCTTAAGGCAAATTGATGGAACTTCCCGTACCGTAATAAAATATTCGAGAAAGTTTAAACGTTTTCAAATATATTATTACAAATACTGTAACTTTCATTGTTTTTGCTATCTTGTTATATCTGAGCAAATCGAATGTAAATCATAAATCAATTTATCTCCAGAACATTAACAATCGTCATTTCATTTCGAATTCAATTTCAAAAAAATAGTTTTGTTGCCTAATTTACACAAAATTGAATTCGGCCGCACGGATTAACCGATTTGAATAGTTTAAAAAACATTCGATTTGTATTGATAAGGAGACGTGCTAATTAGTTTTTGGCGCAGGCAGGTCTAGCCGTTCCGAAGATACGGGGCAAAAAAGTGCCGAAAACGGTAACTCAGTTTTTAAGAGAACGGAGCGTCCGATTTGAATAATTCACAAAACATTTAACTTGTATTGACAAGATGAAGAATTGATCAAATATTCATGAGGGCAGGTCTAGCGGTTTCGGAGATCTAACAAAAAAAGTTAAAAAAAAAATGCCATTTGGCGGTCAAAAATGATCATTAGACATAACGCACATCAAATTATCAAATATTTTATATAGATTTTAACAATAAGTATACATTTTGTTTACATTCCTATGGGTTCCGTCCCAATGTTTATCCGTTAGACAGCGACTCGGCGCTTACGCGCTTTATATTTTGTCTCTATGCAGTTAAAGCGATTGCTTTGAAAAAAGTTCAGATCTTCCAAAATATGTCAAAATAAAGAAAACATTTTTTTCAAAAAAAATAATTTTTTGTCCAATGTATAGTTTCTCAAACATCTTATTTTTTTCGAAGTAAAATTTTTTCAAAAATGTTAATTGTTTTTAAAAAAATAATAAATTTTGGTACGGTAAGTTCCAGCAATTTGCCTCAAGGCACGATGCCTTAATTGCCTTAAGACAGAATTCCACTTACAGCTAGTTATATATAGATATTATATTAATAAAATAGCCATATGAAATGTATATATAAAAAATATTAAAACTGTTTTTCAAAATCTCTCATAGCAGGCACCTCTGCCTGACTAAGATATAAAAATAATGTATATATATATATATATATATATATATATATATATATATATATATATATAAATAAATAAAAAAAAAAATTAATATATAAAAATTTTCGATTTCGATTTTTTTGCGAATACTATAACTTGCCCTACGGGAAGTTAATAAATAGACATTGTCACTGTTTTTACTACCAATAAACAAGCGATGCCATAAAAACGCTTCAGTTATAGAGCAGAATTGTCCCAGTAATCTATAAATTTTCAAGAAAAAATAATATTAAGACATAACTAAGACAAATTAATCTCACCTGCTTCCGAGTTAGAACTGCTGCAAGGAGTAACAACAATCCTGCACTTCTTCTCACTATCATCATCGTCACTGACCACATCCCTACTAACACTCACTTTCTCACCAACACCAGCACTATCCTTAACCTTTTCACTACCACCATCACCACCATCAACCACAGAACCACCTTCTTCATCAATCCTTTGTCCATTCACAACTCTAAAAGTCTCCTTCAACTCCTTATCTTTAACTTGAGGAGTCGCCGGAGTTATCACAATCTCCGGAGGCGGTGCGACGGTGGCCAATTTCCTGCTCCTCCTGATAGTAAATCGACCTCTGGAGATTTTTCTCGATTTATTATTATGGGGCTTGGAGATCGGAGTTGCAACCCTTGGTTGGTGGTTGGTAAAATTATTTTGAACCGGTGTACATGTTACATGGTTTGATTGGTGTTGCCTCAGTTGACCGTTTTCAGCAAGGGTTAAATTGTCTTCGGAACTTGCATGATGGTCGTCGCCTTCGACGGTTTCGTCGGCGTATGGAAAGTTACCCAAAGATGAGATTTTTCGCATCCACATGGTAAAAGATACTTACTAAAAATTACTTAGGTAATTTTTTAGTTTTCATTTTTGTGTTTTCATCAGGGATATGATATCATGTTGATCTGCAACAAGAAAAATAAGGTTGACTGTTTGATTAGGTTATCAAAATTTTTATCAACTGTTCAAATAATACCGAAAAGTTAATTACGTGTGTTTGCTTAATTATGATAATAATGTATTTGATCAAATTGAATTGAGAAATATCTTTGTCTATAAATATTTATTTGTACGTTTTTAGGGTATTCTAGGTTGTTAGGGTACCTTCGGTTTTAAAAGCACCTTCGATTTTTAGGGCGTAATTGATCTTTATACTATTTTAGATATTTGAGACATCTTTAGATTTTTAATTTCCCGTAAAGTAAGTTATTCTTCTAATTGTCCAAATATCGGCGAAGGAGAAGAAGTTTTAGTTTTTATCAAAAAATTCGATTCGCCAATTTTCTGTTTTCTCGACGTTTCAAGCCATTCTGAATCGAATGAGACCAAATTTGAAAAAAGTATGTGTGTGTGTGTGTGTATATGAACAGATTTTATGCCGTAAATCGACGTTTTCTCGAAAACGGCTGGGACGATTTCAAAAATTTAAAAGCCATTCGATGTATCTCGACGAGGACTATCGTTTGTCTGTTTTGTGCGACGATCTGCCAAGCCGTTTCTTTGTAATTTCAAAAAAAGTGTTAAACTTTTCGTCCACATTTAAGCTTATCCTACCGAACCGATTTTAAAAAATCAAAAACTGTTCGAAAGATATTAGTTGGGAATGGTACTGATTAGTTTTGGGTCAAAATCTACCGATCCGTTTTCTTGTACAGAACTATTGAAAAAAAATAAGCCGATTTTTATGGAATTTTTGTTAGCGGTATATATCATGGTCTTATAGAACTTACTGAAATATTATGGCCTTACGACAAGTAGTTTAATTTTAAAAATTCATCAAAGTTCATCACCAATATCAACTAGTTTTGCATATCTTTACGTTTTGAACATAGTGGCATACCTTAGGAAAAATGGATGTGTGTGTGTGCATGTGCATGCATGTAAGGCCATAATATTTCAGTAAGTTCTATAAGACCATGATATATACCGCTAACAAAAATTCCATAAAAATCGGCTTATTTTTTTCAATAGTTCTGTACAAGAAAACGGATCGGTGAATTTTTAACATCCGTAGGGTACTTATAGTAATGGGTCGAAAATCAAAAATAATTTTTTTTGCATTTCTCGACGTTTTGAAGGTTTCTGAACATTTTGGCATACCTAAAAAAAAATGGATTTTTGTGTAAGTGTGTATCCTACATACATGGATACAATTTTTCGTCCACGTTTTCGGGCGCACGGATCACCTGATTTGAATAGTTCGAAAAAACAGTCGGTTCCTATTGATAGGAAAATGTGCTGATTAGTTTTTGGCAAAGGCAGGTCTAGCCAATACGGAATTACGGAGCAAAGAGTGCAGAAAATACAAATCGAGTTTCTGAGAGAACGGAGTATCGGATTTGAATGATCTAAAAAACATTCAATTCGTAATGACGGGGAAAGTAGTGTATAATTTTTGCCAAAGGCAGGTTCAGCTGCTTCAGAGATACAGAGCTAAATGTGCGAAAAACGCAGTTTTTGAGGAAAATAAGCATTCGATTTGAATGATTCAGAAAACTTTCTGTTTGTGTTGACAAAACTATTTTTTTGGACAAAGAAAAAAAAATTTCAAAAAAAATAGAAAAATATCGAAAATAATTCGGATTTTCAACATTTCAATTTGGTACGAAAGTTCCAGCATTATGCCTCAAAGCTCGATGTCATACACCACTAGTTGACTTTTTAGTTGCCTGTTTTTTTTGGAAATCTTAAATTTGTTAAAAGTTCTTAAAACTTTAGAAAAACCCTTAAAATTTCAAGGCAGTCTTAAGCTTGTGGTTCAATTACAAATTTTAGGGCTCCTTAAACTTTCAAGACACCTGAAGCTATGGAACCTAAAATTTTCAGGGCATCTTAATCTCTAAACATTGTTTTTTTTTTCTGTCAAAGTAAAAACTATGTATCAATTATTACCCTCCTGATATCAACTAATAAATAATTCACACCCCTCGGATATGATCTTTAGAAATAATATTGCATTCGAAATTGAATAAATAATAATGCAAGTGCCAGGAAACGTAATCGATCGATTCTTGATAAATATTTTACAATAATTTTCAAGTCAAACAATAACTGCAAATGTCATATTCATAAATTATAAGGAAATTGAGAAAAAAAAAGGGAATTGAAGCAAAAAGTAAACCAAGGTTGTTATCGACACAAATGACCGTAAATTCGAAAAGTATCTTTGATCAAATCAATAAAATTATAATTGTCTAATTAGACGAATTTTGAAAGAAAAAACTAATTTTTATCTTACTTAACTCTTTCAATGCTAAAGTAATTTTTGGCATACATTGCACAGATTTTTTTAAACAAAAAAATTTTATTAATTAAATGTGCACATATTCTCGATTGATTCCCCCAAATGTATTTTAATTTTTTTAAGAAAGGCTAAAAAAATTTATATTACTTCAAATAGCAAATCTATCAGGAAATCTCGTAAATCAATCAACCAGTACTTCATAAAATTTTAGTGAAAAATTTCCATCAATATTAATAATCTGTACATAAATTTTATTTATAGATAAACATAAAAAATACACAATAATCGATAGGTAAGATTAAAAATGATTTACGATCACTTTGATTGTATCTTATCTTTTGCTATATAAAAGTGTATATAGTAATTGCAATTTTTTCAAGAAAATTTTGTAATAATTTTTGAATTTTTATCTTTTTCTTGTTGCTGCATATATCATTTTTATTTTAAAGATATTTCTAACTTCAATTTTGAAGTTTTACAAATGTTAATAAAAATGTTTGCTTTGAATTAATAACAAATTTGCTAATAACAAAAACAGATACAATTTACTTATCATTATATTCATTCTTAATTTATAAAAATTGTCTAAATTGGTTTAGAAATTTTAACAAAACTACGATGCGTTTCAGAATGACTATAAATGTCGAGAAAATATAAAATTAGCAAACCGGATTTTTTAGTGAAAACAAACTTTTCCTTCGGGAATTTAAAAAAAAAATTGGAAAGATTATTAGAGTAGAAATAAAAACAATATTGTAATTCCTTGAAAAATTTTTGAGGCTTATATAAATCTTATAAGAAAATGTGATATCCATAGGAGTTTTGCAGGAATCTTTGATTATCATGGGAATCTTATAAAAATTTTTGAAAGCCATGGGAATTTTCCAAAAATCTTTGACAGTTTAAAAAGGGCTGTACTTAGTTCTTATTTATTGTATTCAAAATTATATATATAACCTCCCGCAGGGTAAGTTATTGTAATCGTTCAAAAATCGAAATTGAATTTTTTTACATTTCTTCACGATTTGAAGATTTCTGAACATTCTGGTGTACCTTAGAGAAAATGGATGTATGGATGTATGGATTTGAATAATTCAAAAAGCATTCAATTAATAATAACTGGGAGAAGCGGTAATTAGTTTTTAGCAAAGGCAGGTCCAGCCGTTTCAGAGATACCGAGCTGAATATGCGTAAAATAACAGATTTTGAGAGAAATAAGCATTCGACTTATGCTTGTGTTGATAAAACGTTTCTTTTGGGAAAAAAACTTTATTTTTAATTTTTTTTTAAATTGTCAAACAATTTTTTTTACACTAATATACTAAAAATAAATAATTTTAGCCTTGCAATTCAGTTTATTAATTCTTAGGAATATAATACAATGTCCTTCATTTTAAATTCGATTCATTGAGTTTTGTTTACTCACTTTTTTATATAAAATACAGTATTTAAAAAAATATATTTGAAAACATGTAATATTTCACTAATATTTCATTACCGTACTGAAAGATCCAGCAATTTGCCTTAAGGCATGATGCCATTCACCACTAGTCTCTTTTTTCTGGCTTTAATAAATAAATATAACTAGGTGTTCATAACAAATTGCATGAATTTCCAGATATATATATATATATATATATATATATGTTTAATTTGAGTTTAAAATTCGGGCGTAACATCAATAAAAATAGTATGAGAGCTTTTTTAAAAGTTTATTTATTTAAAATCCATACGTTTCGGCTAGCATCTTAGCCATCATTCAGTGGTAATCAAGTTAAAATTTTGTATCCATATATATAAATTTTGTATTATATATATATATATATATATATATATATTATTGAGTCATTATACACACTACACATACTTTTTCGAAATTTGGTCTCATTCGATTCAGAATGTCTTGAAACGTCGAGAAAACATAAAATTAGCAAACCGGAATTTTTGACGAAAATATAAACTTTACCTTCGGAAAGTTAATAAAAATATTGGAAAGGTTATTAGAGTCGAAATGAGGAAAATGTTGTAAATTTTTACGAAAATTTTTACTTTTAAAATAATTCCAGAGGAATTTCTTGAATTCTATATAAATTTTATAAGAAACTGGGATAGCCATAGAAGTCTTGTAAGATTCTTTGATTATCATGAGTCTTTTATAATTTTTTTTTCATATTTTCACAAGGACTGCACTTAGTTCTCGTTTATTGTATTCAAAATTATATATAATATTTGTCTTTTCATGGCTTTAATCAATAAATGTAACTAGATGTAGGTGACATGTTGCCTTAGGGCAATTTGCAGGAACTTCCCGATATGTGTAAATAATTGACTTAAAATAAAATTCTAGAACAGAGTATAAAATATATAATTAAATTATTACATACACACACATACTTATTCCAAATTTAATGTAATTCGATTCAGAATGACTAGAAACGTCGAG